CTAGTACGTTGTGGTAATAACATGTTAATTTGCTAGTACGTTGTGGTGATAACACGTTAATTTGCTAGTAAAAGGTCCCCAGCTGATAAATAATTCAGTAGAACACTATTAAAGTAATATTCCGTTAAATGCATACAATTAACCAACTTTAGTTAAAAGTTATCCATCCAAGATGAACTAAAGAAGAAAAACCTGCATTATTGATTTCCAAACTTTAGCCATATAAAATAACGGCTGGTTTTGGTTAGCAAAACAAGCAATAAAATGACAAACTTGAGGATTGCGTAAACATACTAACAAAATGGATTTCTGTTCCTTCCTAACCTTTCCAATTTTCTTTCTACGATTGGAAAGCAGGACACGGGAGAGGGGGTGGGAGACGGGAGAAGGGGGAGGAAGAGGGTGAAAAATGACAAATGGAAAAGTTAGCCAAATGACAGGACTATCACCAGCACTCCTATATCGTCACAACCAGATTACTGTTCAAACAAAAACAGAATGAAAATGAAAATCTTTGATTCGTTCACATTCAGTGGCTTTTCTTCATTAAAATACTGATCATCACTGGACTTCACAAAATTTCTCGTGTCGTATCTTTTTACACAAACAGTACTCAACAATGCAAACTTTGCAAATAAACAGCAGACCGATTTTTCCAAATATCAAATACTCGATGAATATAATCATGATAAAGTGTATGCATTTCGATTATCGATTGATTTCCTCCCAAACAATACTTTGACATGTCTTGACATAATCTCTTCCAGCTGTGGAATTCACTTCAACTTTTCTGTTCTTGTTGATGCTATTATTGTTGCTGTCGTTGTTTTGTTGCTACTATTGTTGTTGATGTCGTTGTCATTGTTGTTGCGACTGTCAATATTGTTGTTCCTTTCGTTGTTTTTTTTTGTTGTTATTATTATTTTTATTTTTATTATCATTGTAATAATACTATAATAACAATAATTACTGTTATAATAATAATAATGCTATAATAACAATAATTACTGTTATTATTATTATTATTATTATTATATTATTATTATTATTTATTACTATTATTATTTATTACTATTATTATTTATTACTATTATTATTTATTACTATTATTACTTATTATCATTACTATTATTATTATTATTATCATTATTATTATTATTATTATTATTATTATTATTATTATTATTATTATTATTATTATTATTATTATTATTATTATTATTATTATTATTATTATTATTATTATTATTATTATTATTATT